ACCCGTAAACTGAGAATGCGTTTAGTAAACTTTACACAAGGTAGATGATCTATCTCACTGATGTCAGTAGTATTAGCAACTGCATGTGTCAGCTATAACGGCTAGTTTTGAGCATTCTCCATGACGGCTCGATTCATGATGGTAATACCTCGTGAAGAGTTGTTCCACCTCGAAGATTGCGAGCCGCCACATCAGCTCCTTCACAAAGCGAATTTGGAGCCACTTCATTGTAGAAGATCGAGCAATAACTGGACCTAGTGAGCCTCCAGCCGTTAAATAGAAATTACGCTTTCACTTACTAGATATTCGTCGTCGACAAGACTGTATAAGCAATGACATTAAGCCAACAGACATCATAAGGATCCGAGCAATTTAAAGTACGCTCCGGGTCATTTTCGCTCTCAATTGCCTGTATCCGGTAGTCAGATGGCTAGCCAATCGTATCATAGAGGAAGACATACTTGAAACACCGAGAGAGGTCGGCTGATATTTTGGGCTCCAAAATAAGCTACAAAGAGTGGATCATCGGCTCCGCGGGTACTGATATAGTTGGCGGCGAGACTAGCTAAGCTCCTACTTTCCTCATAGCTAGAAGAAGAGTGAATCAAAGAGAATATATGCAGAGAAAGACTTACGAAGTCACGATGAACGGAGAGGATGAGGTGTCAGAACAATTAGCCACAGCACGCTTATCCAAAACATTCAAATCTCGTCTCATCACATCTGAGATTACGTTGACATGGACTGTTGGAACAGGTGCTGAAATGCGGACGGTATCCGCAATATTATGTATGGTCGTGTCGGCGCTGAAAACTTGGAAATCATTCGTGGGAGTGAAAGAAAAGGTGCCCGTCCCAGCAGACTCGAAGTCGTAGAGTTGTGCAATATTCTCGTGCGTAGCGGACACAGCCCCTCCAGCAGGAATGGTCACAAAGCTCTCTTCAGTGAGACCAGTCGAGGCCAATTGAACCAGTACCCCTTTAAAAGCGACTTCTGACCCATCCTTTGTCACAAGAAAAGAACGAGTCGGAAGAAAGGAATCAAGAACTAAAGTTCGGGTTCAGTAGATGAAAGAGATAACGATTAAACACTAACTAGTTCCAACTCTAAGGACCTTGATATCTTCACTACTCTGGGGAAAGGTGAGACACGATCTTGCAAGGTAGCAAACAAATCACAGTGTTCTCGACAGTGGCAGTCAAGGATATATCTTCAATGGAGTTGGTTGAGACCTCATTACTTGAGAGAGTGATAGCAAGTCCAGGTGCACGTTTCAAAGGAGTGGCACTGGTCAAACAGGAAAGAGCGAGAGCGAAGATGGCGACGAGCATTTCTTGATTTCACAAGGAGATTGGTTACAGATGAGAATGGTGTTGGATGGGTTTCGATTGGGCTTATATAGCGCCGTAAGAGTGGATAAATAGACGGTGCGATAGTCCGAGGGAGGCTTGCCCCTGTGTGCTCGTTCAAATCTTTTGGAGATAATGGGATGCCAAGACGCACACCCATGTGCTTCGAGAAGTATTACATCTTCTTCTTGTCCCCGAGGGAAGGGGAGCGGTAGAATCTCTGGGTTAACCCCAAGGAATGGAGGGATGTTCGTGCCGTGTTCAGTTGG